ATTCCAAACCCCTCATTCAAAGGTGAAATTGCTTAGGCATACTTCAATTCATTAGTTTATCTAGTGATTACTTGGATTAGAAACTCAATTTCTCTTGATTTGCTAAAAATTTGATTTTAAGCACCATAATCTTGGGATGAACAGTAAAATCCGAAATTTAATTTTGAAAAAGTGAAATTTCTATTTTGTCTCTTTGATTCATGATTAAGCCTTGAGTTGTTCCATTATTCCATATCATTATTACAACTCAATTAGCTTATTCTTCTTTTGCATTAATCACAAACTCATATTTCTCCCCAAGAATTTGCTCTTGTAGGTACACAATGGCAAAGACAAAAGGAAATGAGAGTATGAAGAAGAAGAAGAACCCATTCATGCAACCACCAAAGAAACAAATCAAGCTAGGGAGTAGTAGCTCCAATGCAAGAGCAGCAATACCAACTTCACCACATTCCATTGATGCAATCAAGAACATGTGGAGAGTCCAAGAAGAGGAGAAGATGATTGGGCACTTGTAACCTTTGTTGGAGAACAAAATCAAGACCCAAGAAAGTGTAAGAAGGCAATGGAGAAGGTGAACATCGAGCCATGTGTGAAGATGGACACCCAAACCCTTGATCTTCTCAAGATAAGAGATGATGTCACATGGTACATAAGGAAGCTAGGCTTGAGCAAGCTCTTCAAGCTAGAATGTAGTGAGTACTCACAACTCACCAAGGAGTTCCTCTCACAGTAGCTCTTGCCTTTCCCAACCACAATGGAGACCAACCAGCTGGTGAAGGACTCCTACTCTTCAAGATAGGCGATGCCAATGGGCGCATCTCATCTCAGCTCTATGCCAACTCTTTGGACTTCCCAATGAGACAGCACATGACTTCAAGGAGAACTCAAAGAGGAAACAAGCTGCCTTTGCTGATTGGACACACTTTGCCAATGAACCATTCTTGCCTTCAAGGTCAAAGGTGTCTAGAATCACCCATCCAGCCATTCGCTATGTGCACCGCCTCATCTCCACCACTTTCCAATGCAAACAAGAAGCCAACAAGGTCACAACTGATGAGTTCTACATCCTCACCACACCATTCATCAAGCATGAGTACAAGGCCAACCTTGGACTTTTACTTGCCAAGACATTCATCAATGTGAGGAAGCTAGCTCAAGACTTGGAAGGCAACAAGAAGCTTTGTGTTCGTTTTGGGAGGCTTATCACGGCCATAGTACTGCATGTGGGGATTGACATTCCCAACTATGAGCCACTACCCAAGCCAACCCCTTTGGATCTCCATGCTCTTCAGCACATCCACTTCCTAAACCGTTGGACTAAAGACCCAACTCGGTTTTGCTATGAGTTTCCAATTGGTCCAGCCAACACTTCCCTTGTCTTGCTGCCACATGAGACATCCCAAGCCTACGCTCAGGAGTTGTCACTTTCCAGCCCAATGAGGAAGACTTCTATGTTCCATCAAGTGAGAAACCATCATTCCCCATGCTCACCTATCGCACACTTCAGCATGCAGTCAAGACTCAACGCCGCTCCAAGAACGCCATGTTCTCACTACTGGCATGGCTGCGCACCAAGCTCTAGACCGTGTTAACAAGCTGGAGAA